ATATCTACAATTATTATTTTACCAAAAAAAAAAAAAAAACATAACCGGCTCTAACCGAATCAAACCAATTCGAATCAAATCATAAAATTGAAAATGAACACACACACACACACATACAAATCACTCATTTATACAAAAAAAAACACATATGGCAAATTTCTTTATGTATAATGAATTCGAGGACAACCATTTGCTATTAGGAAAGAGAAAAATTATTTGTATTTTTGCATTACTACATTATTATCGATGTATGGATCGAAAATATTCAAAACAAAATTCATTATGAACAGAATCACATAATCATTTTGCATCACTCAAACAGGATGTGTGTGGGGGCGTAATGAATTGAGTGAGAAAAGAAAATTTATTCACAAAACCAAATTCGCAGCATTGTGTGCGCGGCTTGGCTTTTATTTTTTTTTTTTTTTTTTTTTTTTTTGGTTTGTTTTGGTTTTTGTGATTTCTGTTATTAGGTAGTTGGCTTGATACATATCTAAAACAAAAATCGAGAGCCATCAAAATTGATGTTTATCATATATGAAAACGGGGAAAAAATTTTTTTTTTCTGCTTTTTGACATATCTAATCAATTCATGATGATGACGATGATGATAAAAAGCACATTGTCATTGTTTGACAATCGACAAGTAATAACCGAAAATAAAATAGAAAAAAATTCAAAACCACGTAATTCGGCATGTTGATCATTTGACAATAAAACAAAAAAAAAACAAAACAAAAACTCTCATGATTTCTATATACCATTTATCCATAGACATATATAAGATATATAATTTTAAATCAATTCATTGGATAACTGACCAGAAAATCAATAAATTGGATGATGAAATGAATGAATTTCATAATAATAATTTATTAATTTTCTCCGGAAATATCCTTCATTTTCTTATCATTCACGTGAGCTAATGTCGTCGTTATATATATATAAAATATACACAACTATCATTGCCATCATGTCATCGTCAATGGGGTGATAATTTTTTTTTTTTTTTTTGTTAATACACCAAATGTGAATGACATTTGAATTTTTTTTTTTTTTTGAATTTGACAACAAAAATAATAATAACAAAATAACAATAACGATGAAAAAACTTTACTTTCCTATTTAAGGCAATTAAACTATCGTTTTTTTTCTCATGTGGATAAAATTTAAAATTTATAATGACCGATAATGAATAATATAATCAGTCAATCCATTAATCCATTTTGTTAAGTTTATTTTCAATGGAAAAAAACCCTAATTCGATGAAAATGAATCATAGATTGGCAAAGATCAAGATGGGTTTTTAACAACAACAACAACAACGACGACGAAGAAGAAAAAAAAGAAGGTAGTACATCTCTGGTATGATGCCAAAAAAAAAGTCATAAATATTGGGATGTAGTGGGATATAAATATTTTTTTTTTTGTTTCGGTTCATACATTACGCATGTTCAAACATTATCAACCAATTCATGAACATGATCATTGACATTCTTAAGATTTATAATAATAATAAAAATAATAATTCCACAATAGTTTAGTTCCTGGTTCTTTTCAATGTTTTTATCCGGATGTTATTTTTTTGTGTGTGTGTGTGTATTGTATTTTTATCATGTGAGCTATACTTTTACGTATCTAATTTGAAACCCGCATGTGTTGTAGGGTGAATGCATGTAGAGTGTATCTCAAATCATATGAAGATGAAATAACAAAGAAATAAACTGAAAAAAAAACAAACAAAACAAATTCATATTCTAGACATTTTGGATGGATCAATCATTTTTATCCATCCAACCTGATACAATATATTACTGTTGTCGCTACTGTCTAGTGGTAGAAGTTATTTTTTTTCAAAATTTATAAAAATAAAAAGATTCATACAAAACATACACACCGTACACACACACACACACACACACATTGAACACAAACAAGGAAATGAAAAATAAAATTCCGGAAGTTGCAATCGACAATATTCGGAGAATGCGCACAAAACAAACAAACAAACAAACGAACAATAATAATAATAATAACAGAAATTTAGATCCTGTTTTCATTGATGATGATGATGATGATTGGTGTTGTTGTTCTCAGGTTCAAATGAGAAATGGATTTTTCATTATAAGAAAAAAAAATATTCATTTTTTTCTCTTCTTGTATGAATTAATTTCCATAGAACATTCCAATGGTATTGATACAGTACTGTTGATATTCATAACAATAGATGTTTGGTGGTATTTTTTTCCCATTTTCTCTGTTGTTATTGAATGTTGTAATTATAATATTTTGATCGACCATTCTGCTTGTTGTTGTTGTTGTTTTTGTTGTTGTTTCCTCACTGTAAATTTCCCATTCTGTTTTCCTCTTAATTTTTTTTTATTTGTTTGTTTGTATGAGCGAAAGAAAGTTAATAAAAAAAAAAACAACAACAAATACATCGATATCCAATGACTAATGACGATGATGATGATGATGTACATTCATTCAATCCAGAAAAAAAACATGATCAGAAGATGATCACATGAGATTTATAATAATTATTATCTAGAAAACAAAAAAAAAACACACATTACAATTAAACTGGCAATCATTTAATGTTTTCACCATGTGTTTGGGTGTGTGTCTGTGTGTGTGTGGGTGTGGGTGGGTGTGTGTGTTTGTGTTGCAACATGTAATATCATCTATATAATAAAATCCATCTATGATGACTATATATATATGAAGAAAGAAAAAAAAGGTAAAATCAATATAGATATAGTCATGAGCAATTTTTGTTTTTTTTTCTACCTTTTTTTTCACTAGCCGGCTAATATAATGTTCAGCATGACACACACACACACACACACACAAACATACAAACATAAATCGTATATAAAACGACGAACGATCAAACACACAGGATAGCATCCATACTATGAAATTTTTTTTAGTGTATCCAAATAAATAAAAAAAAACTGGCGCAGAGCGGTCATGACTGGCTGAAATGGTTGCTTGATCGCTGGCCATATTAGATTTTGATGTTTTGCAAAAAAAAAAAAAATTTTTTTCAAAATCTCAATACACATGAAATATACACACATGTGATTTGTGTGTAATGAAATCGTATAAACTGAATTCAAGCATTGTATGGTCATGGTTTGTTGTTTTTTTTTCATTATGATTCTTGTGTCTCAATTAATGTGGTATTTATTTATTTATTTTTTCTTTGTTTTTCTCTAATTGCATTGATGACCATTGACTAGATTGCGTTAATTGTCTACATTGTTGTGTTTATCTATGGAAATGAAAAAAAAAAAATTTTGAAAAATAAAATGCTCACTGCATTGAAACAATTATTATTCAATAATATCTAACTTTTTTTCTCTCTCTCTTTTTGACATTCGTTTTTTTTTCATTGATTGACTTGATAATAAACGAAATTCGTTTGAATGCACTTGAAATGAAGATAGGGTTGTTAATGATGATAAATAAATAATAATAATAGAATGAATGAATATCAGGACTGTTTTTTTTATATGTGGTAGAAGTAAATAATAGAAGACAGAAATTGTCATATATATATTTTTATATATATATCATGTTATTTACACATGTATTCACTTCAAATGATGGTGTGGATGATGATGATAACATTGAGGTGAACACCTCTTCCTTTTTTTGTTCATTTTATTCATTATTATATCAATCACAGTGATTTTTTTGCTGGTAAAATAAAAAATGGGAAAAGGAAAACAACAACAAAAAAAAAATAGGGCTATCACTGGTTTTTTTCGTTTTTTTTTCGGTTTTTTTTTTTGGTACAATGTATTGATGTTGATTATTATACGTATCACATTAGCTCATTTTTTCTGTAGTTTTGGGTAGATATCAAAATGATTGTATCGGTGATGGTGGTGGCGGCAGTGATGGTGATGGTGATGGTGATGGTGGTGATGGTGGTGGTGATGGTGGTGGTGGCATTATCATCATCATCCTGATCACATATGTCAGTGTGTATATATTATACACACTCATACACAAAGAGTTTCATATGATGATTTGTTGGTCGATTTTTTTTTTGTCGCTTCTTAGAGTCAAAACCACCACCACCACCACCACCACACAATCATCATTTATATATACCGACAGTTTTTTTTTAAAATCATCCTCCTGCTTTTTTCATCATCATCATCATCATCATCATTATCAAGCGTTAACATTCGTTGTTTCAACTAAATTTTTGTGTGTGTGTGTGTGTGTGTGTTTGTGTTTGTGTGTGTGTGTTTGTGTTTGTAGTGTAGTGTGTAAAGTGTGCGCGCGAATATATAAAGCGATGTATATCATATTGGACCTAGCCATTATTATATGATACACAAAAAAGTGAAGCTGCCAAAATATAAACCTTCATCGTCAATGAAAGAAAATAGTTTTTATACAAAAGAAAAAGTTGTTTGAAAAAAAAACGAATCAAGATTTTTTTTTTGTTTGAAATTTAATCTCGAAAAATATTTATTTTATTTTATATTTGAATTTTGTTTGTGTTCAGATTCATCATCATTGTGTATTTTTTTTTTTGTTTTGTTTTCTCATTTCATATATATATTCATGGTTACAAATCGACAAACAAATTTTTACCACACATTTAAAATCACATGTTGTTATTGTTGTTGTTGTTGTTCATATTTAAATGTGTGGTTTAATAACATCATTATTATTATCCAATAATAGAGAAAAATTATTCATATTCAACATTGATGAAAGAAAAATTTCAACAACCATCAAGACGACAACAACGAAAAAAGAAGAAGAAGAAGAAGAATGACAATGTGTGAACACGACGACAAAACTTGAAGCAAAATTTTTTTTTTTTTTTTTTTTAATTCACTTCCATCCATTCAAGGAAAATTGAATGTTTTTTTTTTGGTTTTTTTTTCCATTTTATTTTTTTTTTTTCAAAAAAAAAAAAATCAATTGTTGCATAATTTTTTTTTTCGTAACTCTTCAAATTCTTGTTTTGTTTCAAATTTTTTTTTGTTTTTTGTTTTTCGTTGATCTGTTTTTTTTTTTCGCCATTTGATATACAAATTGAAAACTTTAATTATTCCCAAAATTTTGCCAAATTCTTGAAGAAAAGAAAATTAATTGATAGCCGATTTCCTTGGCATCTATCCAGTATATATATAATCGTATCAATAATTTGTATCAATTTTTTTTCTAATCAAATTAAGTACAAAATAACCGCCAAAATGAAGATGTCACGTAGCTATAAATATATTATCACATTTTCATTGTTTTTCTGCTATTTTGCCTATGTAATTATTTAAAATTTTTTTTTCATGTTTCAAATTTCAAATTCAATTCATCAGATTGATAGAAATATTCATTCGAGTGTTAATCTAATTTTAATATTTTTTTTCATTATTTTAGGGCGTCAATTTCTATGTGGTTGGTCCAACATTGATTGAATTGGCCGATCTATTTCAAACAAGTATTGAACAAATCTGTCTTATTTATACGGTACGATCTGCCGGCTATACATGTGGATCATTAAGTAAGTTATCATTTTTTTTTATTATTCAATAGAATAAAAATGACTATATTTTCATTCATAATCGACAGGTGGCTTTCTATTCAAATACATTAATCGTCAATTGATTTTTGTATTTTTCATGGCATTAATGGGTATTACATTGGCTATAATGCCACATGTGACCGGATTGACATGGTTATTCGTATTAGCCGGTATTAATGGCTTTTCTATCGGTTCATTTGATACGGCCATCAATGTATGGGTATTAGAAATTTGGGCCGAAGAAAGGTTAGTATTGATTGATTTTATTTTCATTTAGAATTGTAATTGTTTTATTTTTTTTCCAATCCATTTAGTGGACCGTTTATGCAAGCATTACATTTTACCTATGGAATTGGTTCATTTGTTGCTCCATTAATCTGTGAACCATTTTTATCAACTGAATCTATTCATGGTGGTGGTGGCCATGGTCCACCTGTTACCGGTAATTCAGTACCAACAACACCGGCCACATTAATTTCGACAGAAAATTCATCCATAATGAAAATAGAATCGGTGGTTAATAATAGCCATAAAATGATATTGAATTTGAACGATACCAAATTCCATGATTTTCTCAGCCATATTGATCCTGTCGATCCAATCGATTATCTAATCTATATTCCATATGCAATTGCTGGAGCAATCACTGTGTTCAGCGCTTTGATCGTATTAGGTCTTTATTATTATAAAAAATATGAACCACCAACCAAAGTTAGACGGTCACAAGAAATGAAATCAGATAAATCAGGTGTTGCTATGCTTGAAAATGGTATGTGTTATTCAAGTTGAAAATTATTTCATATTAAAAAATTTAACTAATTCTTAAATTGGTCTCTAAATAGGCCTTGAACCACCATTCCCATGTAAACGAAGTTTCATGGATAAAATGCCACCATGTCTTACAATATGGTTGGTCAGCATGGGCTCAATGTTTTTGACGTTTTTTGTGGGCATGGAACAAATGCATCTACAATTTTTACCAACATTCGCTGTAAATACTGAACTTGATCTTAGTCCATCGACAGCTGCAATGATGAGCTCTGCGGCTGCATTTGCATTCACTATTGGTCGTTGTCTTTCGATTCCATTAGCCATCAAACTCAAACCACAGACAATTCTTTATGCAAATCATTTTCTTATGTTGGTAGGAACAATTTTATTGGCAATTTATGCAAACAATTCCGAAACAATGCTCTGGGTGGGCAACATTATTCTTGGTTGTGGTTTCTCATCAGTTTACGCATCTATCTATGCATTCTTAGAGCAAAAAATCCGAGTGACCAATCGAATTGGTTCGATATTTGTATTCGCTGGTGGTCTAACGGCGGCTGTATCGCCATCATTAGTTGGTCAATATATTGAAGCTAATCCATTGATATTGGTATGGTTCAATTTAGCCTGTTGTCTACTTTGTTTGACAATATTTGTCATCATACATTTAACCGTTTATCTTCAATCAACAAAACCAACAAAGAAAACATTTGATGATGGAATCGTTGTCGATGAAGAATTAAAAGAAAGACAGCTACAATTGATTGGCAGCACAGAAATTGGCGTTGTCATTACAAGTATCACTGATATTTCTGATTCTGATTTAGATGAAAAATATGTGGCACCAGCTTAGAATAGACAAGAAAAAATAAATTGCATTTAAATATCAGCTATCATCATCATCACTTTATAATCTCAAATCATCGAATTTTATCTCAATTCATAATTCATATTTTATTAATTATTATTATTATTATTATTATTATATCATAATTATGATTCAAAACTAAATATGATGATTTTGATCAAACAACATGAAATCATTGAACACAGAAATAATCATATCGGAATTCATTATCAAAAATACAAATCATCATCATCATCATCAACCAAATGGCACCAAATCACTACCATGTTATGGCATCCATGTTATTCAACAACAATTTTTTTTGTCACATATTTTTATTCCATATTCTATCTTTCATTCTTCCAATCTCATTATCTAATATCGTATACCAAGTTGTCATCTCATTTTTTTCACTGGATTTATCTAATATCGAATGCCTCAAAAAAAAGAAAAGAAAAACAAACATACAAATATCTACATTCAGATTCATTGTTTATATATTTTTCAACTGGATTATCCGGATATTGCCTCATCGAATCAATTTGTATATTAAAATTACGACATTATTGGAGACAAGTTGTCAATTAATATCAATCATTCATTTTAATCATCAATCGAGAGAATGGTATAGAAGAAAACAAAAATTACAATGATGAATTATTATTTGTGAAGCTCAAGTGTACAATTTTTTTACCGTTATATATATATATATATACCATTCTATGTTTGTGATTTATATTTGGTTTTGATGAAAATGACCATTTGTTGATTTATTCAAGAATGAAAAAAGAGAGAGAGAGAGAGGAGATGAAATGAACAAAAAAAAAAAAAAAATTCCAGAACAATCAAACTACAATCAAAGAAAACAAATAATTTTTTTGTCCTTAATCATTCAGATTTTTTTTTATTTTTGACTTTGCACACACACACACACACACATAATCACACCATTCATGATCATAATAGACACATCAATCCATCAACGAATTAACATCAACATTATCATCATCGTCATCATCATTATCATCACAAATCGATAATTTATTGATTGATTTTTCTATACATTTATCGTATATCCATAATTATAATCATCATCATCATCATTCTCGAAATTCGATCTTCCAAATGTGTGTGTGTGTGTGTGCTTGCAAGTGTGTTCGTGTATTTCAATGAAAATTTGATAGATTGTTTTTTTTTCTAAACTGTAAAATTTTTCAACTTTTCCATTTTCTATATTTATAATGAAGAAAAAAAACTGAAATTCTCAAATAATTTTTGTTTGATAATGTTTGATTTTTTAGAAAAAAAAAAAAAAAAAAAAAAAATTTAGAATTTCAAATTTTTTCCATACAGACAAATTTTGATCACTAAACCTTGATTGTGGTGAAATATTCGCTCAATTTCGATTGAAATTCATAGACATAGACATACCGATTCGCCTTATTAATGTGTGTGTGTGTGTGTGGAATTTATTTTTTTTTGTTGTTGTTGTTTTCGTTACCTGTACACACAACAATCATCACTCAGACATCATGTTTATGTGTGTATGTGTGTGTGAGTTTTTATACTTTTTTTTAATAATTTTTTTTCCAGTTTTTCATATCAAAATCTTCCAAATCTAGCAACAATCTAGTCAACACTTTTTTTTATATATATATCAATCAAGTAAAAAACAAAATTATAAAATTTACATTTGCATGTTTTTTTTGTACCAATAAAAAGCCAATGAATTGAAAAAATAAATGTGATTCCTGAATGTTTTCATTTTAATGTCATATCAAATTTTTTTTTTGTTATTTTTTTTATCGATGATTGGAATAAAATTGAATTTAAATCATTCCGGTTTTTCTGGTTGTGTTTGTGTTGTATTTCATCTGATTCGGATTGTGATATCATTAATTTATCAATCCATAGTGCATAGTTTGTTTTTTCTTTTGTCGCAATTTCGTTTTACAGAGAATATTTTTACTTTTTATCGTTTTTCAGTACATTCCCGGGAAAATTAGGGTTTTTTTTTGTCCAATTATTTTAACCATAATATAAGATGAAACTAATGCACCTACGCATGAAATATTTTGTCAGAATAATTCGATAGGGAAATGTGCACATAAAAATTCTACTAATTATCTTGTTTGATTAATTTTTCTCTAGAATGATGATTCATTGCATTGAAAAGAATCTAATGTTATTATTCTGATGAAAAGATAAACATTACATTGGAATGACAATTTTTGATTATTTTGTGCGATGCTAAATTGAATGAAAACTGTAATATAATATCGAAATTGAATTGAATTGATTGCAAATAAGAGACAAACACTGGTGGGGAGAGAAAAAAGTTTTTATTTTTGTCGATCAAGAATAGTGAAAGAAATTCAAAAGAGTTGACCTTGAACAATAAAGCATAAAAACCCACATACATACATACATACACACACACAGATACAAGAATCATGTGATATTTTAATGGTTAATGACAAACGATATAATATAATACGGATACAGGAAAAAAACAACAATAACAACAACAACAACAACAGAAGATGAATAAAAAGAAGAAAGAATTGAAAGTCACATGATTCTTTCAGTACAGATACTTGCTTTTCTTCATCAATATATAGATAGAAAATTTATCATCATTGTATGTATTATGTTGGTACTTTGCAATTTGGGTATTAAACCTTATATCATCATTATCAATGGTGATGGTGATGGTGATGGTGATGGTGACGATGATGATGTTTTATGTACGTAGGTCTTTTGAATCAATTTTCTAGAAAATCAATGAATAAAACGGAAAAACGAATCAAATGCGCATGGAAAGTAGTTTCGGTCAATCAGGACATACATACACACACGCACACAAATTCAGAATGTTCAGATTCAGAAAAAAAAAAATTTTTGCGTATGATTTCATCAAGATAAAGAATTCTTTTAGATAAAATATTAATGGTTACTTGTGTAGAAATGGGGGGTTTTGTCCAAGAAACATAAACTATTACATTGACAACATAGATACAATCGAAAATTTCATGCAAAATTCATACATGTTTTTTTTCGCTACGATAAATGTAATGATGATGATATAAATTGTTCCATAAAAATGTCCTTGATTCGCCCTTTATTATTTAGCATTTGGATTGATTGATTGATTGTTTGGCAATAGGGGCAAATGAAAAGAAAAAAAAACAAAATTTACGGTCTCACGGTATATTTAAAACAAAATATACTTTCACTATATCCAATTTTTGTGGTGATCACAATCACAGTGAAATGTAAAATTCAATAACGAAAAAATTATTTGAATGGCAAAAAAAAAAAAAAAAATTCCCGTTACACACTAAAGGAACAGATAAAAAACAAAAAATGTTTGAATGTCTCTCTCTCTCTCTCTCTCTCTCTTTCTTATCTCATTCAAATTGGATTGATATGATCAAGAAATTTGATTACAACAACAACAAAATTTTTTTTTCTCCACGTCTGGATCAAACAAAATTTCCTTTCATCATCATCAATTTGTTTTTCTATTAATAATAATGACCACCATTGATGTTTTCGAGTCTCTCTCTGTGTGTGTGTGTGTGTGTGTGTGTTTGTGTGCGTGTGTTCCAAAATTATTTTTTCCCCTTCTTTTTCATCAATTATATGTATGGTGAAGAAAAAAAAAGGAAAAATAACAAACTAATTAATACAAATGAAAAAAAACTGGCAACAACAACAACAACAACAACAATAGCGGCCAAAAATTATAGCTGAGGTCATTTTATGTTGTATTCACCACAGAAAGAAAAAAAAAGACAATAATAATAATCACATCGCAAGCAACAACAACAGCAACAATAAATGAATAATAAATAAATAAAATCAATTTGTTTGATTTGATTTTAATTTTTGTATTGAAACAAAACACATAAAAAAAATAAATAAATGGTAGAGAAAAAAAATTATAATTTTCAAAGGTGTCAAAGGGTGTAGCCCGGAAGAACAAACACATGCACACACACACACACACACACACACACACACACACATGCCCAAAAACCATTGATGTTTACAAATCTAGTAGTTTTCATTTTGAAATTTCCATCATCATTTTTGTTCAATCCATATTTTTGGTTTTTCAATGTTTTTTAAATGCTAATTCATCATCATCATCTGATGATGATGATGATGAAATCAAATGGCGAGAAAAAAACATTCATTTTTTACAATCACCAATATTGATTATGAAATATGTTTACAACAAATGTGATTTTTTTTATCAAAGAATATCTGATGAAAATTTTTTTAAATGATAGAAAACAAAACAATGGTCAATCAAAATATTGTTCATTGATATATGCAATAATTTCATCATTTCGTATCATATTGATTGACAATTGTGTTGTTTTTTTTTGTAATTTCGATCATGTACAAAACTATTAATCTGATATTGTTGCATTACTTGTGATTGGTTTTTTTTCACATAAATTGTTTTTTTTTTCAAAGATGTCCCATGTGTCCATAAAAACTGACATAACCTGTTGATTATGTTAATGTGGATGGAATGAATTGAACAACAACAACAACAACAACAACTAGAAAATAATTAACAAAAATCAAATTGTAATCAACATTAATTTTCAATGTAGAATAACAAATCAATCAAAAAAACAAAACATAATTATGATGAATTTCAGTTAATTGCAAAAAAAAAATCCATTTTCATTATCATCATTCATATTTATATTGATTGATTATTGATTATATATATTGACCAATTTGTTCATATAATTAGGTGTAAGCAATTGAGAATTGCTTGAAAGCAATCAAACAAAAAAATAATATGATTGATTCGTACGATAATGATGATGATGATGATATTAGATGAGAAACATGACAAACATTTCTAATCAATACCATGAATTGATTGGATTCGAAATTGGATTGATTTCTAATTTGGCTCACCTCTTACATCAATGAAAAAACAAAAATCCATGTTGACCATGCAATTATAGAATGTGTAAATGTAATGATATGAGATGAGAACAAATTTTCGAATTCCACAGAAAAAAAATCTCAAATAATTTATTTGTCAACAAAATTTTTTTTTCTAATTTCCGATCCAAAAGGCTTAATGTTAACCATGATAATATAAAAAATTGTCCTAGTAATCTGAATACATTGTGATCACCAAACCATCATTATCATCAAACATATTAAATGATGATGATGATGAGTGACTTACGTTTAAATTGTTAATGTATTTTGTTTCCGCTCAAGATAATTGGAATAGTAAATGATATATGGTATTATTAAAAAGTATCATATGTCACCAGATTTTGTTTGTTTTGTTTTGTTTTGTTTTGTTTTGTTTTGTTTCCTTTTTGACTGACTGTCATGCATTGTATTCAATACAAGAGAGAGAGAGAGAGAAAAAACATATTGTTCATCCTTATTGAATTACGTGAATTTATTTTTGCTTTGAATTTTATCATCGTTATATCGATGATTATACTATGAAAATGACGATGAAAATTTTTAATTCAAATAAATTATAAAGAAAATTGTCAACGACGACAATGAATTGTGGCTAAC